TGCGGCAGGTCGCACTTAGGTACCAATAGGGTGGCTGGGTGATGCTGGACTTAGTTATTAGAAAAATTCTCTGTAATCTGTATAGTTTCAAGAATTCTAATAAAGTACTAGCGTGACTGCTTAAGTTAAAAAAAAAAAAAAAAAAAAAATAGTATTTTTAGTATTTAGAATATTATATTAAATTTTAAAAAATATTTTTTGTTTGTATAATAGTTTAATAGTAAACTTTAATTGCAAATAGTTGTTAAAATAACTGCATGCAGATATATAATAGATATAAATTTAAATGTTATATAAGTAACTATATAAAATTAGTAAAGCAAGATTAGAATAGCTAATATAGTACTAGTAAGATCTTGTAAATATAATCTCAAATTGTATTATATTAAATTTAGAATCTAATAAACTAACTGGCAATGTTATCAAAGTTTAAAAAAAAGAATTGTTTTTGTAATATAATAATTTATATAGGTTTTAATCATAAATCTAATTTAAAATTATAATTTCAAATATATATTTGTTTTTGCATATAATTACAATTATCTTTTATAAAAATAGTGATTTTAAATCCTATTTATAATAAAATTTAAAAATTATATTTGTATTATAATAACTGTTTTTTAACAATTAGTTGAATTTATAAATCTGTAATCTTAGATGCATCAAGCTAGGTTTTACTTACTATTAAAAGCTTAGAGTATTTATATAAAATATAATATTTATATATATGTTGTACTCCAGATGCAAATCGGCCTAATTGTTAATTGGAGCAGCCCAGATTGCAATTTGATTTTGGGTTACCAATTTTGCTCTATATGCCAATTGCAAATTATTATAAATAAATTAGCCAATTAAAATAAACAAATATCAAATCACATAAATATTTAAAATATTACTATACTAAATAGTAGAAATTTAATAAACATTTTAAATAATAATACTGCAATTATATACTATATTTTTATATTAGTTATTTGTTATTATAACTAATATAAAAAAATAAAATTTTAATTTTATTGATTTTTATATTGAATATTATTAGAATGACAATGAGTACTACAAGTTGCATCCACCTTTTTATATTTATAATAATTTTTTAAGCAATTACTTTTGCAAAAGTATTTTGTAACAGTTATAGAACCAGAGCTTTGTTGAATAGCAGCTTTATGAGCATTTACACAAGTGTTGGAAATATTTATAAGCTCTGAGTATTTACTAAAAGTTCCAGCAATAGAAATCAATTTAATAGCTAAATAATGTTTATTTAATCTTCCATATTGATATCCTAAAATATATGTGTCATTCTTAGTAATTTCTAACATTTTACAGAATATGTATTAACGATCAATACTAGCATAATTAACTTCAGAAATTCAAACCTGAACCAAATTATTTAGTTCAAATTTTTGTAGGTGTTTTCTTCCTTTTTTCATTTGCTGCCTCATTTTTTTTGTATAAACTTCCAAAGGCTTAGTAGCCTTAGCCTTGATGATATTTTGGATCATATAAAAGGATAAAATAGATATAAACCTTGATTCTTAAAAAAAAATAAAAAAGAAAAACTAAGTATTAATTCTTGTTCATTTCAAGCAAGTTTATATCAAATGACAAAAAGCAAGTACTTTTATAGCTTATTATTTTTTTTACTAATTCAATATTTATTATTTATATAATTATATCATTTAATAACAGTTTCTAGAGTTAAAATAATTGTTTCAAATTTAAATTTTAGTCAAATAAATAAATAGATAAAGTAAAATAAAATAATAAAATTAAATAAAATAAAATAAAATAAATTTTTATTAAAAAAAAAATTTAAATAAAAAATAGTAAAATTTGAAAACAATTTAAATAATAAATAGCAAATAAAATATAAATATATAAAAACATCTGAATTTCATATTCAATACTTAGTTATATTTACTAAGTTTTTTACAGTACTAAATAGTGGCATTAAGTTATTACTTATTACTTAATACTAATTACACTTACTACTACATTAGGTGGTAGTGGCAGCAGCAAACCCTAAAATTTAAAGATAAGTTGTTATTAATTTTTCCCTAATTAAGTTATTACTTCTTACTTAATATTAACTATACTTACTGTTACATTAGGTAGTAGTGACAGTGGCAAACTCTAAAATTCAAAGATAAGTTGTTATTATATTTTTTTTAATTAAGGCATTATTTTTTACTTAATATTAACTACACTTACTACTATATTGGATAGTGGTGGTAGCAGCAAACTCTGAAAGTTCAAAGATTAGTTATAATATTTTTCAATTAAGTTATTACTTCAGTTATTGTTTATTTAATACTAACCTTATTTATTACTACATTGGGTGGTGGTAGCAGTGACAAATCCTAAAAGATCAATAATAAGTTGTTATTATATTTTTCAATTAAGTTATTATTTTAGTTATTGTTTACTTAATACTAACCTTACTTATTGCCACATTGGGTGATAGTGGCAGTGGCAAATCTTAAAGATCAAAGATAAGTTGTTATTATATTTTTCAATTAAGTTATTATTTTAGTTATTGCTTGCTTAATACTAACCTTACTTGCTGTCATATTAGGTAGTGATAGAAGTAGTGAATCCTTAATGATTAAAGATAAATTATTATTATATTTTTCAATCAAGTTATTACTTCAATTATTACTTATTTAATACTAAACTTACTTACTACTGTTAACCTACAAAAACGACCATAACTCTTGAATCACTAGACAGAATTCGATGAAACCACCACTATTCGAATCAGCT